ATTAACGAAATATATTAACATAATAAAGAAAGAAGGCAATGTAGCAGTTATAACGCTACACACTTCCACCACCCAGTAGAAAAATTTTGAAAGTACCTTGAGAAATTTTTCTCATCACTAAACTCATTATATGTTATGATCATCAAAATAATAAAGGTAATCTTTACCAAATAATAAAGTTATCTAGATATCTAGCATATAGGTATAATAACTTGTAAGTTTAGATACTATTATTTAAACAAAATAAAGTGAAAATGGTTAACTTGTGATAAGATATAAAAATTAATATACTTATATTAACCTAAGTCAAAGAATAAATTAATGACTATCACCCAACGAATTATAGTATCCGTTAAACTAAAATTTCAACTACCACCTATTATTACAACGCGAGCTGAAACGCTAAAGATAAGAAATTTAACGTCAGATCGTTGGTGTAAATGTTCGGCGATATTTAGATGAGATATTTCCTGGACGATAAATTGGTAGACAAGGTAGAATTGAATGGCCTCCACATTCACTCGATTTCAATCCTAAGGATTATTTTTATTAGGGATACTTGAAAAATTCAGTTTACAAAACTTAACCAGAAAGTCTTGCAGAGCTAAGGCAACGAATTATCAATGAATCTCTAATAATTTCTAGACCATCAGGGAGAAATGTGGTAGACGCATTCTACCATCGATTAGGGTGCTGGAAACTCACAAATTGAGCTCATTTTAAACACTTAATAACGTAACTACTATGTTAAAAAATGTTCTAAACTATCAATTGTTACGTTTTAATGTATTTGAAAATAGTTAGTATTAAAAAATTTATTGAAACAATTTAGGCGTTGCCAGACTTCGGTTTTATGTATTTATGACCTTCCAGATTACATAAAATCATAAGTGTTACATATGGTTGAACTCGTATTGAATAGGAGATTCCAATAATGACTGAATATACAGGGTGATGTATTTGAAAAACCAAAGTTACTAATAATATAAGAGAAACGGCAAATCTTGCAACATTGTAAATATCAAATATGGAATCTCCGTATCCCAAAATAGGTGTACCTCAAATTTTGTACAATTATAATTAGCATTTTACGAGATAATCAGCCGTTTCCAGACTTTTGGGCCATTCTGTATAAATTTTTTTCATTATGTTCTATTATTGATATCTCTCCATCTCCAGACACTCTCTGTGTATTGATGTATATTTAGATGTCTAAAGAACATGTTCGGAATTCGTTTTCAAGAACTATTCTCCGTTTGTTTCCACTAATTGTGAAATACTTCTGGATCATAAATTTTGATTTACTCCACTGTATATCATCGTGTAATCGTTCAAATTTTTAGTTCCCAGAAGTTTCTTTTAATAATAATGAAGCAAAATATATTTTGACCACTAACCACTTTTGTATGTATGTTTTGTTCAAACGGCTAAGATGGCTCTATTTGTTAGGCATTAGTGAAAACAAGACACTCTTATTATTGTATATTAACATATCCCAGCTGAATTTCGTGCAACAAAAGTTTAATTACTAAATTAATCGATGATAGGACTATTATTATACATCAATTACTACACTCTTATTTGCTACACTACATAAATACCAAAAAAAAGACTGCTGTGTTAATAGGAAATAGCATCTATAAATAATATCTATTATTCCGAAATTTAGAATACAGTATTCAAAAAATATTCACATGCAGTTTATTAAGAAAATAAAACTGCATCAACTAAAACAAAAGTTTAAATGTTTATTTGTGAAATGTTATAGTCGTTAATAGATTAGTATTTACAAATGGAAAGTTTTTAATAAAAGTTCATAAATATGTACTCCCATTATTCATGATTATTCTTCTTTTTTTCAATGAAAAAAGGCTGGACAGTAAAGGTCGATTTAGACACATCAGTCCCGTCACAGTCTCGGCGCCGAACCGGTTCTGTTTAGTCACAGAACTATTAATTATTTGACAGCTGGGAAACTGTTCGTCGCCTGATGAATGTGAGTGACAGTGCCATATTTCTATTAAAGAATATTTTGTATGACGGATTGTTCGATTCGGCGCCAGGACTGTGACGAGACGTGACTGATGTGTCTGAATCGACCTTAAGTTTGTTTAAGTTATTAATAATGCGAGGTAGGAATTTTTGTGTTATATGTCTACAATGAATCTGTCAAAATACTTCCAAGCTGAACGAACGGATACATATATTTTAGTTTCTAGTATTTATAGTGTCAATAGCGATACTCCCATTTTTTTATTACTAATAAAATGAAAAGAAAAGAAATTTAAAATATTTTATAACGTATAATGTATATTTTGAGTAATTATTAATATGTATAAATATTTAAATTATTGTGTGTAAAATTTTGGAATGTACAGCTAAACAGTGACTATAATTTTTATATTTCCCAGATCGTTGAAGTTGAACACCCGACGTACCTAAGGCCTGATACTAAAATTCAGTAGACCCTATGGATCATTTGCGATAATATGTGTAGTTATTATTTCATCCGACCAAAGAACCTTAAGTCGAAACAGTACACTACAATTTTGCAGCAAAATTAAAAACAATCATTCAATGACGACGTATCACTCTGCATCAATCCAATGCGAGCTCTTTCTTATCAATAAAATCATACATTAAACTATTATCATACTTTTTGAGTTACCCGCCATTCAGTTCTTTCTCACCCCTCAAAAAAATTTCAAAATAATTATCACCCCTCATAAATTTTTTTTAAACGGAAACAGCATTGAAAATCGGATCAAATGCATAATAAAGTTTGTTGATCTAAATTTTAAATATTTTAAAAAGCAATAAATAAATTTTTGTCGGTAAATATTTGTTCAAAGTTTATTATATCTCTAAATTTATAATCATCCTAGACATTATCAGAAAATAAATATATCCACATTATTATAATCTTTTCAAAACCAAGACTGAAGAATTTATTCTTCGGCTGATAATAATAAATAATATTCTCATACTCCAATTTTTCAAAACAGCTTTAGCAGACATAAAGAAGTAAGTTTAAATTACATAGCTTGATCAGTCTTAATTTTAAACTTCTTGTAGACTAATTTGAGAGTTCGGATTCCAACTTAACACGCACACGGAGAAACTTAAGCAAAGTTTTGTCGATTAAATGGCCAACGAGAGGAGCGACTCTATTAATACCCACAACTTAACTAACATCGTATATAGGACACAGGGGATTCCGCCAGGTAATGGGAGCAATGAATCTGATTCTAGACTACTTAATTACAGGTTGGGACGCAAATATTTCTAATGTGAAATTTAACACGAAGTTGTATTTATGTTTCCAACACATTTTTCGAATGCCGTAAAGATAACGTATCGAATTATGTATTAGGTAGATAATGGGAATAATTATTGGTGGAACAAAAGTATTTTTGCATAAAAAGTTTAATTTTAAAGAGGAGAGCAGTGTTTCTGCATAATTTAAAATGGGATACCATAAAAAAATTTCAACTACGATCCTTCCATGATTCAGTTTTTTTTCTTCATGACCTTTTCTTTTAAAATCCTCTTTATTCTTCCTATGCCATGCTCGATTATCGTATGTTGGCTATGAAATTGGCTATACTAATTTTGTTGACGGCTTCTTCTGTCCATCTTGCTTTGTATTATTAAATTAAGTATCTCTCTGGTTGACGCATGATATGGCCAAAATATTCCACTTTTCGATTTTTAACTGTCCTTGCTATTCCCGTAACTTTTCCCATCCGCTGCAAAAAACCTTGTTACGAACTCTATCTACCCAACTTATTCTTAGGATTCTTCGATACGCCAAGATTTCCACTTTTCTGAGACGTTCATCGGTTAAAGTTCAACCTTTGACACCATATAAAAGAATAAATAATACATAACAAATTACTAATCTAATTTTTAGTCTCAAAGTGATACTATTTCCACATAAGATTTTCTTCGACTTAAAAAAAAGACAGCTCTGGGCTTTATCCGTGTTCTAATTTTTTTCATCATCATGTCACAGTTCTTATTTAGATTACAACCAAGGTAAGTTATATTGTTAGTTCTTTCCAGTTGTGCTCCATAAGCTGTTACCACTTCTGGTTATATTGGCATTTTACTTCAGTTTATATTCATCACACGTTATATGACGTTACAATATTTACGCCAATAATTTGGATATCACATTAAACACTATCCAACGCTTTATTGAAAACGAACTCTGAATAAATGTTAAATATTAGTGGGGACAAAATGCAGCTCTGTCTTACACCTCTTTATGTTTTAAACTCTTTAGAATTATCCCGGTCAATCCTGATGTTCGCACCTTGATGCCAGTAAAGATTTTTAATGATTCGTAAAATTTTTGTAAAATTAGCTTTAATAATTGTTCAACGTAATTATTGTTCACTTCACATTTGCTTCTTCTTCTTCTTCAGTCTTCTCCTTCCGGTCCGGATATTGGCGATCATCAAGGCTATCATGGTTTTGTTGACTGCTTTGAGAAACAGCTCCGCGGAGGTTATTGTCGGAGGTATTTTAACCACGAAATACGGAGGCGACCCCTCTTCTGCCAAATACTTATCCTGCATAACGAGTTGAAGAATTCGATATTTTTCTTCGTTCCGCATCACGTGCTTCGTCTCATAACAATAATGATGGAGATTGGCATTCTACGTTTTCTAAAATCTGTTTGGGACGGTAGATTAAGTGTTTACAATTACGAACTATACTTAGCATAAAAATTAAAAAACAATGTTAGAAGCTACTAAAATTAAATTGCAGAAGAGGATAAGTAGGCTACATAACACTTCGATACAGCAGACTATACATACACACCATAACTCTCACTGTGATATCTTTTACTCAGAGTAAGATACTTTTGTGTCTACAAGGCTTAATTTGAACTTCTTAGAAAGAAATCTACTAGTTTTAGAAAACAATTTGCAACACAGCGAATAATGTAATAGAAAAATGTATACGTATTTCATAGAAATATAGTCACTTACTGACAACGTGTATCATGAATGATCCAAAAACAACCATCCATCCCCAGCCACCATCTGGAGGAGGGGGTGTTTCGCTGTCTTCATCTTCATCCCTGCGTTTTGTAGAATGGCCAATAGACATATTATATCACTGTAATAAAAACATATTGTTAGTTACGTATAAATTGGATGATCTAAAATTAACGTTAAATAAAAGATATGGAAAAACTAAAATAAAAAAAAACACCAATCGCTTCAATTTAATGATACACGGAATATAGTTTATAAACAAAAAAGTGAGTTTTTCAACTAATTGTAAGTACGCAATGTAAGTGTTGTCGGCAAGCAAATTATCAAGTCTTCAAATATGCATATCCTATCAGATGTGTAGTGATTATGCATGTTGAGGTTTTTATAGAAATTGTACTGCCCTTTTTAAGCCGTTTTCCATCAAACTGCACGTCTAAATATTATCGCTAAGTGTGATATGTCTGAAGAATGGCAATATCTTTAAAAATAATTATCCTTACTTTTAACCAATTTTTACTAAATATTACCTATGTCCTTATTATTTATTTTTAGTTTATCGTGTATCAATGCAAAATGTTTCTGTCTTTGATCTATAAGCAATGTCACGGTGTGTTAAAACAATTTAAAGCCGATTTTTTGGCACCCCTAATATTATTTAAGGTTATGATTGTTAGGATTATTTCAAGTAATTTCCCGCAAGAACAAAAATATTTTACATAACGCTTTTATTACAAAAATCGATTTTATCAGTTTAAAAGTTTATTTGTCATTTTTTATTTGATGGTATTTATTAGCAATCCATATGCAGAAATGTTCAAAGCCACCGAAGTAACCAGAATAAAATTGCTTAACTTGCTCTGTAACAAAATATGGCATTCCAATCAATGGCCGGACGACTAAATAAAATATACAATAACGACAGTACATAAAAAAGCAGCTTCCGTAAATGCGACAACGATATAATTATCTCCCTTATCTCACACGCCAGCAAAATGTTGATACACATAATCAATGAGTGGCCACCCTTTTAAATGATTCCTAAAAGTGATATGATATGATAAAAATGATGATTGGCATTTGTTATAAGAAAATTATAATTGATAAAGTATCACAACATTGATGAATTGAAAGTCGTAATGAAAGAAGAAATTTATCTGTTATATGAATAATATCTATATATATATATATATATATTATCTATTATATGAAAAATATTACTTCTTTATATTTAAATAATTTGTTTTATGAGGATAACTTTTGAAAGAGAAATACCTAGATTAGATTAGATTAGATTAAGAGAGGTGGCCTTTCGGCCTATTCCACTTCGACCTTTTCAGATCTATTGTGGCCCTCTAGTCCTAGACAACATTCTCTAGCCTGACCCTCTTTATAAAGTCTAGTAGCTTCGAGACTGTACCTTCCATGTAGCTGTTTGCCGGTGGATTTTCTTCTCCTAATGCAAAAAACCGCACATTTGCCAGACTGTCACATTGACATAAAATGTGCTCTGCCGTTTCTTCTTCGAGGTGACAGAATCTGCACAGGTCATCATCTGATAATCCCATTAGCTTCAAGTGCCTATTCAGCTTACAGTGCCCTGTTAGAAGACCTACTATGGCTTTGACTGTTTTCCTATCTTTGCTAATTAGGTCTGCCGTAAATTTTGGCGAATGTTCTCTAATGAACTGTTTTGCCTGTCTTTGTCCTGGTGAATTCCTCCACCATTCCAGAGATTTGTGAGCTACCCACTCCTTTGTAGCCGTTCTTGTTACTGACTTTGCAACGCCGCAGAAGGGTTCCGGTCCAATGAATGGCATTGATGAGCCTTGTTTGGCCATTTCATCTGCTTTTTCATTGCCCTTATGACCCTCGTGCCCCGGTACCCAGGCTACCGTAACCTTGCTACGGTCTCCTAGTTTATTTAGGGCACACACGCAATCCCATACTAGCTTAGAATTGACCTCTACAGAATTGAGTGCCTTAAGCGCTGCCTGACTATCTGTGAAGATGGCAACTAAACAGAACGTTCTTTCCTGCCTTTCTATTTCTTCCACACAGTGATGAATTGCAGTTATTTCCGCCTGGAAAACTGTCACATCCTTAGATAGACTTACCGGGAAATGTATCCCTTGATTTGTCCCTACTATGCCGGCTCCAACACCCTCCGATGTTTTTGAGCCATCCGTTGTACCAGGTAGCAGCAGCTTTTATGGGTACCCCTTTATTCCACTCTTCCCTGCCCGGTATCTTAATTGTGAATTTATTGTTAAAGCTATATCTAGTAGCTGTTGCATCGATAGGCTTCCCCATCACAATATCGGCTTTTAGCTCCTCGATTAGCTTTCTGTTGTCAGTACCATGCGTTTGGCTTATATGTCGCTGACTATGGATTAATCTGTGCATCACTGATCTGGCTTCGCCCTGTATAAAGATATGAAGTGGTGGTAAATTCAACAGGACTTCCAAGGATGCAGTAGGAGTTGTTTTTATGGCCCCCGTAATACACAGGCATGCTAGCCTTTGTGTACTACCTAGCAGCCTTATTGCTCCCACTTGCTTCGTCTTTGTCCACCACGTCACCGAGCCATAGGTTATCATGGGTCTAATAACCCTTGTATATAACCATAGAGTCATTTTGGGGTTTAGCCCCCAATTCTTACCGCACATTCTTCTACATCTGCCCAGGGACATAGTAGCTTTCTGTGTGGTTTTTTATAATGTGAGTATTCCATGTAAGCCTATGATCAAAATATACCCCAAGGTATTTTGTTTCTTTGGCAAATGAAATCTCTGTTCTTCCCAGCACCGGTGGTTTTAGGCCTTGTAGTGCTGTTTTCTTGGTAAAGTTGACGATTTGTGTTTTCTGAGCATTGACTATCAGTCTCTCTTCTTTACACCAGTCGTCAACTATATTTAGGGCTGCTTGCATTCTCCCAGACACCACCTGAGCAACCCTGCCCCTGACGACAATTGTTATATCGTCAGCATATCCTAGACAATAAAAGCCTTCTGTTGACAAATTTCTGAGGAGATCATCTACCAAGGTTGCCCAAAGTAGAGGTAGAGAAATACCCTAAGAGCAAATTGGATTTACCAAAGGTAGAGGCATTAGAGACCACCTTCTGAACATAAGAGAAATAATAAAAAAATCTAGGAATTCAATATACCACCCTACATTCGTTTTATAGATTACCGCAAAGCGTTCGAGAGTGTCAAATGACAACAGTTATGGCAGATACTAAAAGAAGGAGGTGTACCACAACACTTAATTTCGCTTACAACTGAACTATACGAACACACTACTGAAATAGTTAGACCGGTTTGAGGTTGCGAATTCATACTTATATATGGGATCATTGATCACAAAGACAGGTTTACTAGGGAAAGAAATAAAACGTAGATGTGATCTAGCAAAAGCGGCCGTAGGAAAAATGGCCAAAACGTGGAAGAACTTTCAAATTTCACGAACTCTAAAAATGATGTTGATCAGCTGCCTAATATTCCCAATACTGACACACGGATGTGAATCTTGGACCCTACTAAAAGCAGAAAGAAGAAAGATAGATGCTACTAAAATGGTTTGTTAAAGAAGAATGTTTCGAATTTTGTGGACCGACCACAGAACAAATAATTCAATTGAAAGTACTTATAATCGGTCAACGGGAACTGAACGAGTTAAGTTCTGTGTGTGAAGTGCCGAATTTTTGTCAAATTTTTTGGATATAAACAAAACTGTTATACCTAAAATTTGAACCATATAGTTTATGGAACACAGTGAATCGTGAAATAATGTTATAACATTCTCAAAGTTAGTTATACATAAGTTAATTTACTTTAATATTTTGAAGACATAACCAACAAATACACTAGTTCTGTCAATTTCTAATAAACATTGTTCTGTGATACTAGCATATCAGAATAGTCGCTAATTTCCTGGTTTGTATAGGCAACCAGTTTTACGGCATGCCGTATTTAAACTTGCCTATAGCAAACACTACCAATAAATATTAGTGATCAAGCCATTATCGCTTCTGACTACAGGGGCGAGATGAACTCTCCAACTGCAAATAACAGAAATACAACTGAAAGTAACAGCCCTCCAGTTTCATATGTTGCTGCTGCCAAAGCAATACGCAAAACTACGTATCCAAAAAACGAGCAGGCTATAGTGTTCCATATAACTGATAACAATCTTAAATTATTTGATTACGTCAAATCAATTGGAAATATTATTGGGCCGAAAAACATTAGCTTCGCTTCCAGAATCTCGAACAACCGTTTGTGCATTTACCTAAACAATATAGAATGTGTGGACCTTATACTCACAAATAATCCTGTTGTTCGCATAGGAGACGTAGACCATAGTATTAGAAGACTAGTTACACCAGCTAAACGTCTAGTTTTATCAAATATATGTCCATCTATTCCACATGAGCTTATCGAGTCAGCACTCAAAGATTATGGCCTACAGATTGCTTCACCCATCTCATTCCTAAGAGCAGGAATTCCAGACGACGAATATAACCATATTCTTTCCTTCCGTAGACAGGTTTACATAGTCCCACCGAACGATAACTACGAGATCCAAACTTCATTGGTCATTCCATTTGAAGGTAATGCACATCGCATATTTTTGTCTACCGATAAAATGCTCTGTTTTTTATGCAAACAATCTGGACATGTAGCTAACAATTGCACAAATATAACTGTTCCTTCAGTTACTACAGAGAATCCATCAACAACTGAAGAAATACCATCCTCACCTGTCCCTGGAATGAAGAGAGCCTTTTCGAATTCAGTCGATTCTAACGTAATCAACGTGTCAGAAACACAAGAAGAAGTTTCACCTGCAATGCCTCCACCTCATCAAGATACAAACAGAAAACCAATGAAACAAGCTAGGAAGAAGTTAAAAAAAGATTCGTCTGATAGTTCCAAAATCACGGATGCCTCAAAAGAAGCAATAAAAGACTGTTTTAGTAAGTCATCACACTCTTTTTCCACTTCTGTAGACAATTTTATAAGTTTTCTTGAAAATAGTTATGGTAGTAGCAATATATTATCTGAAGCCCAACAATTTACACATCACATCAAATCATTACTCTCTGACATGTATAATAT